CAAGGAACTCATGCAATATTATTCAAAATGGGTGACCCTGGAGGACATTATGCTGAGTGAACTATCTCAGTCGCAAAAGGACAAATACTGCATGGTGCCACTGCTGTAAAATGGGACTAATATCAGGGTTGGGATAAGACTGAGAAAAATTGGAAAAACTGTGTATACTGCACTGAAACAGATGAGGGAGAGAATAATTTAAAAGCAATGTATGATAGGCTATTATGGTTATCACAAGAGTCCACAATTAAGGTTGCATAGTGGAATGTACTTGGGGCTGTGGGAGGTGTGCGGGGGGATTGCGTACCACAGAGGGAGTTTTCTTTCATTTTTCAAAGAGAGGAACAAACTGGGGGGGGCGGGCTGAGCACGGAGAGAAGTGCAGCAATGAATGAATGGAAATCCAAAATCTCTGTAAATGTTTATTAAAATAATTTTAAAAAATTATCTTCAGGAAAGAAAAAAGTAGTTAAAGGAAATTTTCCAATAAAATTATCATTTGTGATCATTTTTATTGGAAAGAGCAATGGTGGCTCCATGGTTAAGCACTGACCAGAAAGTCCATGGGAAGGTCTGTGGCATGATCCTAACTGCTGTACTGGGGAAAAGACGAGATCTGCTTTCACAAAGCTGACTCCAGATGTCGTACGGTCAGGTTTGCTCTGTTGTATAAGGTGGATTTTATCTGTAATCAAGTCAATGCGACAGGGAGACCACAGAAGATAAAGGAAAATATTAGCGATATGCCAGATTATTAGGATAAAGGATAGAACTCATCAAAGGAATGGAGACAACGGATAGAAAGTGCTGCATCTGTTTGCTGAAACATCACAGTCAGTAATCCATCAATTTCTGAGGCCTTATAATTTTCCAATGTTTTCCATCCTGTTTGATTTCTCTTCTTTCATCACTATTGCTTTCATCATATGCTACTTTTGGAAACAGTTCCATGGTGATCAACTCCTTTTGGTACAGGGTGTGTTGTACTCTGTGTGTTCCTTCAGTCTTCTTTTATTTCGTGTGTCATTCAATATTTTCCCCATAGAACCCTTCAGTCCATTCAATAGCAAGTTTCAGGGTCCCTCTTGACATCCATTTTGGCCTTTTCTTTCTCCCTTGTCTTTGTTAGGACATTCTGCTTTCTTCATGCATTATGTTGTTCATTAGTGTCTAATGTTTCAAATCTATTGACATGTTGTTGTTATGTGCCATCAAGTCACTTGCAACTCATAGTGACTCTATGTACAATGGCCCTAAACCTTGCTCTTTCTCTTGCCAACCTTATTGTCTCTGACACACCTGTCCATCTCATTGAGGGTCTTCCTCTCCTGCTCTGTACCTCCACCCTCCCAAGCACCACTGTCCCTCTCCAAGGACTGGTTCCGCCTTGAAACATGTCCAGAGTATGTCAGACGGAGCTTCAGAATCCTTGACTACAAGGAGCAGTCCGGCTTCACCCTCTCCAGGATGAACCTGTTTGTTCCCCTAGCAGCCCATGGTATATTCAACACTCTTCTCCAGCACCACAGCTCAAAGGCATCAAGTCTTTTTCTATCATCCCTAGTCACTGTCCAACTGTCTGATTTTTCAAATACCAGTCTTTTCTTTCCAGTGTTTGCATTCCAGTCACTTACTATTATGGATGCATTTTGCTTGTAGGTTTGGTCAATTTCAGACTGCAAAAGTTGGCAGACATCTTCAACTTCTTCATTTTTGGCTTTAGTGGCTGGCGAGTCCTTTTGGCAGGTCTTTCATGTATGGATATGGATATTATCCCGCAGAGAGAGCACTGCGCTTCAGGATAAATCTTGAAGGTTCTCTTTGATGATGAATGTGATACCATTATTCTTGAATTTGTCACTCTTAGTCTAGTATATCATAGAATTGCCTGATCAAAACTGGCCACTATCAGTCCATCTCAGCCCACACAATGCGCAGGACATGACGTGTTCCCATTTCATTTTTAAATGCTTCCTACTTCCTGTATTTCAGCTTTTAGGTTTTTTTAATTTTTTTAAATTTTATTATTGTGTGTGTGTACCGTCAAATCAGATCTGACTGGTACAGGAGGAGATTGCTCCTCCTTCCCCGGCAGAGCATCTGGTGGATTCGAACCGTGCGCCTCTGGGATTGTAGTTGCAGCTCCTTGCCACTAGGCCACCAGAGCTCCCCTCAGGTTTTGGTTTTTAATGGGTATTTCCAGCTTTTTCTCTTCATTTTGATTCTTGCTATATCAGCAAAAGAAGAGTCCTTCACTGGATGAAAGCTATTCTCCATCAAGTCAGAAAGGTAGGCCCTACTTTGAGGAGGCTCACTGCATTTTCAATGTTTCCCAACCTATGGATCTCATGTTCTGATATTACATCCAACAAGGATTGACAATATCCATGGAGTTTTAATAATCTGTTATTTCAGAAATGGATTTCCAGTCTAGCTTTGTAGCCTGTCAATCTAGTTTCAATCTGTTTACCAAGGGGACCCAGATATATCTGAAATACTGGTAGCATAGCATCCAGCATCATAGCAACATGCAGGCCACCACATTACAGCAAACTGACAGGACAGACAGACCTAAAGGAGACACTATGCTAATGAAATAAGTCAGTCACAAGAGGGCAAATACTGCATTAAGAACATTATAAAAAGCTAAAGAAAGATTTGTATACAGGTAATATCATCTTGTACTAGGGACAGGAAAGGAAGGAGAGGGAGGTAAAAATTAACAGACCATAAACATTTATTAAGGTGGGTAAAGGGAAAGGTAATATACAATATGGGGTGAATGTTAGAAAACGTGCAGGAATGGCTGAATGAAAAACCAGTAAGCTCTGTAAACTTTCACTCAAGTCACGAAAGAGGGGGTGGGGAGAGGATAAGGGACATAGTTGTCAGAGAGTCTTTTATCTTGTTATTAAGGGAAAAAAGAAATCTAGATTCACTTATTAAAAAATATTTACTCTTAACCACAAATGAACAGATTGAGAAATTATGGTACATTCACACAATGGAATACTATGCAGCACACAGGAGCAATGACTTTGTAAATTACTACCTAACTTGGGAGGGACTGGAGAGCATTATGCTGAGTGAACTAACTCAGTCCCACAAGGACAAATACTGTATAAACCATTACTGTACAATGAGTTTAAGGATCCAGGAGCGGTGGGAGAGGGTGGAAGCAGAGGGATGAGGATGTGCAGGGAGAGGGGGGATTATTCATGGGGTTGTACAATTTGATGAGAGTGGGGTGAGGGAAATGGAAAGAATTTGTTCTTAAAAACAGTGTATTTGAATTTTGTAAATAAGGTAGTAGAAAATTTAAAAAATAATTGTAGAAAAAAATTAAGTGTAAAAAATATTTACTCTTTATTTAACTTCTTAAGACATTTGTTTTTATGTGTGGATTGGCATACTTCCAGTAAAAATTGCAGAAGAATTTTTTTGTACCTACTGAGACAAGCTAAATTATACAATTTATATATGAAAAGACGTCAAAGAGAACATGCAAAAGGAGACTAATTTTCACCTTATTTTAAGACGAGTATAATGCTATGGTTATAAAAATGGACTAGTACTGGTAGAAAGGTAGACAAACAGATCAATGGAATAGACAGAAAGTCTGAAATAGACCCAGACAAATAAGGTGAATCGATTTTTAACAAAAATGCAAGAGCAATTCAATGGAGATGAGACAGTCTCTAGACAAACGACAATGAAACAATTTCCTATGCAAAACAAAAGCAATCAAAACATACCTCGACACTGAGCTATCCATGATATAATATAAAAACTAATTAAAAAAAAATCTATGTGACCTTGGGTTACATATGATTTCTCAGCTGTAACACCAAAAACACAATCTATGAAATAAAGAAGTGACAAACTGTATTTCAACCAAATTTAAAACTTCTGCTCTGAGAAAAACCATTTTGAAAGAAAGGAAAGACAAGGCTCAGGGTAGGAGAGATTTCTAAATTCCACATCTATCTGACAGAAACACAGAGCCAGAATAGAAACAGCTCTCAACATTCAAGAATAAGAAAATAAGCAACTTGGTAAAGATGAGCAAAATATTTTAGTATTAAAGCCATACATTAAAGTATAAACTAAAATAGGAATTAAAATATATTGAACTACTGATATATGCATCAATATATGGAGTTTTAATGCATTATCTTAAGTCAAAGAAATCATACCTATAATGTTACACAGTATCAATCTAATGACATTCTATAAAGGAGCAAATGTAAGCACAATAAATAGCATGAGAGAAGCTTATTGAAATGATGCAGTGGTTATATGCTTATATACTTAACTCACAGTTATAAATGAAGGGTGAATATTTCTGTATTTAAGTTAAATAATACACTGTTGAAAGCCGACTTTGTGCCAAGTATTCTAGAGATACAACTATGAACAAGGCAAACTTCATTACTTCTTATGGTTATAAATCCCAATGAAGAAAAAATGAGGGCACTGAAAAATAAAAGGACTGCATTTCATGGTTTTAAAATAATGAGGATTGGAAGCAGGAGTGGCATCCACTTCCTAAACTACATGCTTCTGGAAACTATGAACTTTGATAAATGACGATAGTTACAGAAAGGCTTCAGGCCTTTTGTTCATAGGGTTGCTGTGAGCTGTGCTTGAATCAACGCAATCAAAAACAACAACAAAAAAATGAAGAGAAAAGGAATGACGCTAGAAGTGCTGTCCAAAAAACAAGGCCAATAAGAAGCCTGTAAGGTTCTGGCAAAGAGCCTTGTTAATGTAAATGAGTATGTAGTGCTGACCTCAGGGATCATCTTCCCTATCCTTGCCCTGAACAGCTGGCACTTGCACAAAGGCAGTCATGGCCTTATTCAAGGGCGAGAACTATTAGAACCAATGCTCTAACTGCCACTTCAAGACTGCCCACGGTGGAGTTATACTTCCTACAGTTACTTACAGTAATACAAGATGCTTAAAAGCCACCAAAAAGCACAATCAAGAAAACAAACCTTCTGATACAAAGGGAAGGGCTCCCTGTCTGGCTCAGAGCCCAGCTGCCTCGGCCTTGTTTGGGAGAATCTGGAGATGCGAGAGGCAGAGATGACATCTCTACTGGTGTCTTCCATGTGATTCAAAGTCAGTCTGTTTCCATTCTTGGAGGAAGGTGGGGATGTACGCTCTCCAGGCATACTAACAAGCCGCACATCCACTAACTGTCCATTGATTTCCATCCTGTTCATCTCTTTCACAGCCATTTTTGCATCAGTATATTTTTTAAGAGTAAGAGATGCATATCTATAATACAGAAATAGAAAACAAAAGGCTCTTTGTTAATGATTTTAAATTGCCTCAAACCTTAGTATTTTTTTAAATTTTTATTTTATTATTTGTGTGTGTGTGTGTGTGTTCTTTGTTAATGATTTTAAATTGCCTCAAACCTTAGTATTTTTTTAAATTTTTATTTTATTATTTGTGTGTGTGTGTGTGTACCGTCAAATCAGATCTGACTGGTACAGGAGGAAATTGCCCCTCCTTCCTTGGCAGAGCGTCTGGTGGATTCGAACCGTGCGCCTCTGGGATTGCAGTGCAGCTTCTTGCCACTAGGCCACCAGAGCTCCCCCAAACTTTAGTATTTTTTAAAAAACCTTTTAATTGTGGTATGGGTGAAAGGTCACAGAACTGGTTTTCCACTGAACAAATCATACATATCTTATTTAGTGACACTGATTTCAATCCCCAAAATATGACACTTTCCCCACTTTGTCCATGTTTCCTGTTTCCCCTGGTCTGTTATTTCACCTTCTGATCTTGATCCCTGGGCAAATGCTGCTCTTTTGATTTCAAATGGTAGGCTGGTCTGAGGACTATACACATTTTGGACAGTATTGTTCATCCTACTGTAACGTGTTTGTAACTAGTGGCTAAAAGATATTTTTCCACAAGAACTGTCCTTACTCAGTTTAAGATTTGTTATTGTGTGCTGTCAGGTCAGCCACCCTATATACAATAGCTTTGAATCCTGCCCTATCTTAAGCCAATCTCACTGTTTCCAACACACCTACCCCATTACACCTGTTACTATGTCAATTCTCTTCATCCAGGGTCTTCCTCTCTTATACTTTGCCTCCACCCTTCCAAGCATTATGTCCTTCTCCAAGATTTGTCTCTTTTGACAACATGCCCAAAGTATGTGCGAGACAGAGCATCAAAATCCTTGCCTCCAAAGAGCAACTCAGTTTGACCCTCTCCAGGAGCACCTTGGCTGAACTCTCTCCAAGACAATGGTTTGTTCTTTCGGCAGTCCATGGAATAGTCAATTCTGCAACTCAAAGGCACTGATTTTCTGTTATCCTTATTCGTTATCCAACTTTGAGATGCACAGCAAGTAAACGAAAACACCATGGCTGGAATCAGATGCACCTTTAGCCTCTAACTGACATCACTGTTTCTTACCACTTTAGAGACCTGGATAGAAGATTTATCCAATGCAACACGTCTTATGATTTCTTGACTGCTGGTGCCGAGAGTGCTGACGGCAGATCCAAGCAAGAGGAAGGGCTTACAACTTCAATCTTTGCTCCATCTAACAGGATGCCGCCTATAGGTCCAATGCTGAAGATTTTTGTATTCTTGCTGGTAAGATACAATCCATATTGAAGGCTTTGATTTTCTATAGCAAATATTTTAGTCCTCTTCCTTCCTGGTAAGCAAGGTTGTGCTTCTGCACAAGTCAGGCAGGTGTAGACTCACTGTCCAATAGTGATGACATATGGATGATTTGCTTAACACACAGACTGATTAGGTAGGGGAAAGGATACAAGTACTGTCATATATCTTTTGTGATTTTAAAATATGCAGAGTTCCCTGTCTCTGTTCTGATCAAAGTTTATTGGTCTAAGTATTTCACATGAGCATAATTAAGTGTTCTGAGATTCCCATTCTTCTCAATATCAGCTATAATTTGTTAAGATACACAGTCAAATGTCTGTGTAGTCAATAAAACACAGACACCCTTCTCTGCTTTCATCCAGGATCCATTTGACGTAAGTTATGGCCTCTTCTAAATCTAGTTTAAATTTCTGGCAGTTTTCTCTTGCTGTTACTGTTTCAGCATTTAAAAAAATATTTTATATATTTTTTATTCATTTCAATGAACATTTACAGAGATTTTATATTTCCATTCATTCATTCTTGCACTTTTCTCCCCACCCACCCCCAACCCCAGTTTGCTCTTCTCTTTGAAAAGTAAAAGAAAAAATTCCTTCATTGGTATACAGTCCCCCCACAGTCCCCACCCCCTACCCCGAGTATACTCCACTCTGCAACCTTCATTCCGGACTCTTATGATAATCATAATACCCTATAATATATTGCTTTTAGCATTTTTAATGATCTTCAGCAAGGGTTTACTTGCACATGATATTAACGACATTATTGTTAGGTACTGGTGAATCAAGCATGACTCAGTAATCCTGTAACAACAGATCTGAACTCTGTTCTATCCTGTGCCATCTTCATCTAGTGCTCTTGTGCAAGACCACAACTCAAAGGCATCAATTCTTCTGTCATCCTTAGTCACTGTCTAGCTCTCAGAAAAACAACACATGACTGAAAAGATCATGATCTGAATTAGGCACACATTAGTCTTCAAACTTACATCACTGCTCCTCAGTCATTTGGAGAGGACAGTGGACTTTCTCAATGTAATAGGTACCCTAACTGTGGGACCAAAGGTGTTGACTGTGGATTCAGGTGAGATGAAATCATTGACAATGTCAATCTTTTCTCCATCTGTCATCACGTTGCTTTACTGGCCCAGTGGTGAGGATTTTTGTTTTCTTGATGTTGTGATGCATTCCATATTGAAGGCTGTAGTTTCTGATCTTCTGCAGCAAGTATTTTAAGTTCTTCTCACTATCAGCAAGCAGGGTTGTGTCATCTGCACAATATAGGTTGTTGATGAACCTTCCTCCTATGCACATTCTTCTTCATAAGAGTCCAGCTTCTCAAATGATTTCTTCAGCACACAGACTGAACAGGACTGGAGAAAGGATACAACCCTGATTGCCCACCTTCGAGGCACTAATGATATTGTTTGATAATATTCCCAGTCTGTTGGATCACCTTTGTTGGGAATGGAAACAAATAGGAATCTCTTCCAGTCAACTGGCCAGATGGCTGTTATCTAAATTCAATGATGTGGCAAAACTCAACATAAAAAGAAATAGCTGCAAATATCCATTAATAAATGGAATGTGTATGCACTTAGTATGAATCTAGGAAAAATTAGCAGTTGGTAAAATAAAATAGAATGCATGAAGATCAATGTCCTAGTCACTATGGAGCCAAGATGGACATGCAGAACTACTGTGTGATCTACTGTGCCAGGAATGATATGATATTTATTATCAAAAAGAGCATTTCCAGATCTATTCTGAAATACAAAGCTGTCAAGAGCAGAAAACCACCCACCTCTGTGCAGGGAAGCCCACCGATTCAACTATTAATCAAGCATACATTACAACCTCTACAGCCAAAGATGGAGAAAGTGATGGATGACTGCCACTAATTTCTGTAGTCCAAACTGACTGAACGTCCATTAAAGGTTAAAGATGCATTCATAATAATAATAATAATCAGTGAATAACTGGAGTGCAAAAGCTGGAAACAAAAAGGACTCGTAGACCCTCTTCCAAGGCCTCACAGCTACCCCTGCCAGGCTGAACAGACAAGATTCATGAGGGTGGATGAACCCTGGGACAAACTGTCTTGGCAGGTAAGAACGATTGGGCTGGATGTGGTAGCTCTCAACATGCAGCAGAGCCACGACCATGGCCTCCCAAGGTATCATGCTTGCTGGCGCTTCTGTGGGTCCGCCCAGCCTCAGAATTTAGAACCTAGCCAGGACTAAAGAACCAGAATTTGGCAAAGAAGTTCCTGAAATGGGACACCTGAAAACATTTACATTTAGGTCGGGGCCACTGCAGAACCTCTACTGCCAGGGGCTCGAGCTGGGCCTCTTCTGGACTGTCTTTTTGAGAATCAGTTTAGAAGAGCCTGAAACGGAGACAGATCTGGTGCAGAAATGAGGTGTTCTTACTAAGAGATAGCACAGAGCCCTGAGATGACTCTCCTTGCCTCAGATTATTTGTGACAATACTGGCATTACCACTGTTTCAAGGCACATCTTTCGAGCCAACATCTATCCCAGGAGCTTTGTGAATTGCAGCCCCAAGTTGAACCTGTCAGCCTGGCAAGAGATGAAGTCTTTGCAGGAGTCCATCCCAAGCCTCCTAGCCCTAGAGACGAGAGTTTGGGATCAATCACACAACTACCTTCTCCCCCTTGAAGAACTATATCCTGTTGATACTTTTGCTGGTGACAGAGTCAAGCTCTTTGACTAGTAATAACAGCTTGAGTCCCTAGCAACAGTAGACCCACCTATCTTGGGAGCTGCTTAGGGTTGGGTTATGAACCTATTCCAGGTGCAAGGACTTGTGAACCAAGCAATGAGGCCCTGGACCCAGAAGAAGAATCAGATGGTGGTTTGCATCCATTTTCTTCTACTTTTCAGCTGTAACCCAGCAACTGCAAGACCACACTGGCCCAGTATACAGGCACCCTTCAGTCCTCCTCTTGAGCCTATAGGTTGGTTTGCTTCTTCCAATAAAGCACTGCTGACAGTTTAAAAAAAAAAAAAGAATCGCTTTGATGAAAGAAATGGGGCTGGAAATCTCATGACAGTATTTTGCACAATAAAAGATTTATTCACTGCAAGTACATTCTTTAAAAACATAAATACTGACTATGCACATAGACCTCCCCTGATAAAATACACAGGAATCAAACTAAGTACACCTGTGGAAAGAGCTGGAAGAAGAGTTAAAGATCGGAGGCTGGGGGTTAATGAGGAATAGACCACCAATTAATTACTCATGTACAAGTTGAAACTCAAGAAAATTAAAACAAGTCTAAGAGGCAAAATATGATCTTTACCTTTATCCTATATGAATTGAAATATAATCTCAGAAATGTATTTTACACAGTGGACAGTTAGGACCTGAAGACCAGAGGAGCTGTGGGATGACATCAAGGATATCCCACATGAAGAATGCAAGGTCAAGATACATAAGGTTAAGTGTAATTGTCCATTTATTTAGCGAATTCCTTTTCTATTAGCTAATATACTCTATTTAAAAATGTTATGAAATAAGAAAATAGATCGATCAATAAGCAAGCACTCCTGTATGGCATCAGTACTAAGGTACAACACGTAAAGAGCTGAATTTGGCACCCTGAGTGTGTCTGTGAATGGCTGCAGCCATCTGGACCTCCCTGTGGGGAGACCCCAGCCTTCTACTTCTGCTCATCATTGTACAGTCTCAGGCACACGGCAGACACCCAGTAAAAGCCCATTTCTTGAACACAGGGAACATACCTGGAATGAGTGGAGGAATCACAAATTGAGATGTCAGAAACTTCATACTTCTGGAAAAAAGACCTTAAATCAGCCTGAAAGAAAAATAAAGGAGTTTGTTAAAGGTAAAAAAGGCAAAAAATAGAACAGATTCTGAAAATAAAACTCCAACAGAATATCCTGGCATACCTCAGACACTGAGGGGCTGAGACCACCAACGTGGATCAGATATCCTTTATCTTTGGGTAAAGGTTCAGCACTCTTCGTCTCTGCTGATAGGGAACATGGTACACAACAGAAGATGAAGAAACTATATAGTGCTGTTTTTAAGCTTAAATGTAAACTTTGTTAAATAGCTTGCGTTTTTAATGACCACAAATTTTAATAAGTTTGCTATTAATTTATTAGCAAGTATAAGTCATCAGCCCCAAATTAACAAAGAAAGGCAACGTTGGTAAATGAACTGAATTAGCATTTCTCAGTAATTTCCTAAGAAGCCACCTGGTGTCAACTCTGGAGTCCATTCATCTTCTTTTAACTGATTCTCTTGTACTCCACAGACATCAACTCCTGTAAGGTTCTCTTTAGCATCAAACCAGTCTTCACTTATGTCTTGATAATTTCTGTAGTCTGATAGGTTGAAAATAGTTATGAATCTTGTCTCTTTAACTATATGACTTATAAAAAAGATATGGATAAGTATAAACAACTATTACTTTTATGTATAAACCTAAAAACAGAAGGATAAGCAAAGTATGAGAACCAAGCCTGAAATTTCCCAGGGGATGATTTCCAGCATCCCTTGGATAAAAAGAACTTTTAAAATTGAATAACCAGTCTCCAACCTCTTTTAGTTAACACAGATTCTGAGTTAGCACAAGCATACATGTTCTGATATCTAAGTCATACTTTTGGAAGATGAGATATATCTTTATATAAAATAGCAGCAAAAGAATCCTGAAAGTGATCAGGCAGTACCAAGTCCGAGACAATGAGGTTTGACTCAGGCCAGGTTCAGAGCCACTGTTCGAGGGTTGCTGTTAAGCCATGGTTGGCTTGAAAGCCCGCAACAGGTTTTTATTTTCACTAAAAGTTGAAATATAAAAATCTTTTTTTGGAATGATTGCCAATTTTTTCAAAGAAGAGTCAAAACATAAATGATACAGAGATACAAAGGAGAAACACACAAAAAACCCCCAAACCCAAAATTCTGTTTGGAAACCATGAACTGGAAGAACAAAAGCATCTATGTGATTTATAGCCATTATCAGATCAATAAAGTAACTTTAAAGTTGTCCAGTAGAAGCTATGCAAATATACTTAACTTTCACAATCATAGAGATGCATTCAATTAACTATATTATTTATTTTTACTTAATTAATGGGCACCAGGGATATTTTTAATCACATTATTTGCTGCTGTCAATTGTTTTACACTGACCTTTATCATCACTTTTCAGTTGACTTACATCTTCATTTGTGTCACTGTTATTTGAACTATTATTATTCTTAGGTGATACATTTTGTTTAGGGTGACAACTGTCAGACAATAAAGACACCTGGAAATTGAAAAAAGAACAAAATGGCAATAGATAAAGACAAATAGGTTGGTCCTTTGTCCTCTCTGGGACAGGTATACCTCACTGGCATTATTTAGCTCTCAGCAAGGAGTGCTAGTGAGAAAAGGTGTCATCAGGGAGTAACTGCTATTTCATACTGTGTGGCTGAGGAGCTGCTCCAGGAAATCCTCTTGCAGTGGCCATGTGCTAACACTAGCACATTTGGCAAAATGTGGCTTCTATATCCAAGGTTTCTAAAGCCATGGATGTAAATGTTTTTAGGTGTGTATTAGCATACATACAACACTTCTAAGTTCAATTTAACATGTGTTTATGTATACCTTTATTTATAGGAAAGAAAAAAGTAAAATCTGAAAACTAAGTGGTTTAAGGTAGGAATCTGCCAGAGAAGGAAAATTCTGTATTCCCCATTCATAGAAACCAAAAAAAGTTTGATATTACATCCCATCAAAGGTGGGGAAGCCACCAAAGTACAGGAAAAACCAGAAGTCTTTCTAAATCACAGCTTTCAAGGTTTTCTTGCACCTCTTTTCTGTGTGTCAAGAGTTACGCCTTATACTTACCTGTATCTATTTACCAAAAATGATAATTTAAAGAAAAACACAGTATTACAGTTAATACACAGCTATTGCAAAATGAGATTATATTTAAGTAGCTAAAATTTAGAAGCACCACACTACAATATACTGGTTTTCAGAAAGAACCAGTTAAAATAATTTAATGAGACAGGTTTTAAATGTAATCTCAATTTAAAAACACTCCTTTATATTAAAAACAAAGATTTTTAAAAAGCATGTTGTATCTGCATTTTGTACATTTGAAAATAATTTCATGTTCTCCCTAAAAAGCTGAAGGTTCTTCTACAGCTACCATTAAAATGGTGGGAGGAAAACACAAGCAAAGTGCAACCAAAAAACTACCCTTCAGAACATATCATTAAATCAATAAGCTTTGAAAACAAACTATGTATGACATTTGAGGAAAGTCAGTTTTAGCTCTGGCTGGTCATTTTTCTGCAGATAACTGAGGAGGACTGATTGCAAGGGAAGCAGCGGATGATCCGCTCTCGTCAGGTCCATGCTTTGGCTCAGGAACGGAGCCTGCTGAAGACTATACTCAGTTTGCTCACAAACCCTCTGGTTTCGACTAAAGTCAGAAGTAGAAGCGCACGGTAACTCTCTTACAGCACTGTCCTGACTGGCAATGGGACAGACATTTCTAGATTGCTTTACAACCTGCAAGGTGCTTTACACAGATTATTTCACCTAAAAATTTTCTTAGGGAACAAGAAATTTAAAACAAAAATTTCTTTGAGGAAAGAAAAAAATCTGAAAAAATAATACCATTTTCAGTATTTAAAGAAAGTGCTTAAGAATTCTTCTTTCTGATGTGAATGGATAGTTATTTTACCTGTCCCCATGAAGTAAAGGTTAAAAACACTCGTTTCAACTACACTGGCACAACAGCAGCCACACACCAGGGTTTATCAATTTCCAAAGACAAAGTAAAAGCCATTACTCCCTTTTACCATAAAGTCTCTATTAATGATAAATGATACAGTTTGACAAATGACTGAAACTAAAGACATCATTATGTTCTCTTCAGTGAGTTATAGTGCTCATAGCCAAAGAAAGCCAGTCAGCTGAAAAGAAGGATGTGAAAGCTTCTGAAAACTGTGGTTTACTTTGAGTCATAAAATAAAGATTATAAATCATGTGAAGAAGTTTTTAAGTGATCTTACTTGAGCGGGCGTCTTCTTTAGGCTTGAAGAATCATCACCATCATCATCCACCCTTGGTTTACCCATTTCTGAACTGACTCCTGAAAAACTAAACAGATAAAAATGTAAAGAACTTAACCATGTCAACAAGGTCCCAAACAGAAGATGTAATGTAAGTGAAAACAAGCCATTTTCAACATCTAATGCATTCTAAATGGAATTAAACCACAACTTACGTATGCGTTTCTTCTTTCATTACCTAGAAAGAAAGAAGGGGAGAAAAATCTTCATTTAAAATGCTTTCTGTCTAAATAAAGTAAAATTTTTTATTCCTAAAATATTAATACATACCCTGGAAGCAAAAGTGGAAAAAGCAGACAATAATTTTGATTCAACTGCCAGTGGGGGCAACTCCTCCAGTGGTATGCCTTTGTTTATTTTTTCTTTCAAACTCATATACCTAGTTTTTAAGTCTTCCAAGACAGACAAAAGTTCCAAGCCTAATTCCTTCTTAGAAGAATTGTTTGATAAGTTCCTATTTAGAAATTCATAAAATTATTTCCGTTTTAAAGAAACATCAAGACTACTTTTTTACCACATTCTTCTTCACAGACACGCACTTTTCCCTTCATGACATTCCCAAGTACTGGTTTTTAAAGTCCATTATCCACAGACCAGCTAAAAAACCCAGTTCCATTCTACTCCCCTCATCTTCAAAACAGAATATTAAAGTAATTTTAACACTAACTTCCTATAGATTTGAAATGAATAAGCACCTGTTTTCTCCTTCTTTGTCTTCCATCACAAGTTTATAAAGGTCGTAACAGTGGCGGCGGCATATCTGATAGTGAAGGGTTAGAAGGTGCAGCTCAACGTTCAGGGCTCTCTGCATTATTAGCTGACAGCACTGGGATGGGGGATTCTTCTCCCTTTCTTTAGAAAGCTGAAATTCCCTTTAAAATGAAGATGGCATTAGGTAAGATTCCAAATATTTTCCAGTTTGGTGACATGCTACCAAAAAGTTTTGCAATTTCTTATACTTCCCTGTGAGGTTTAAATAAAGTTCTACTAAAGGCAAAATATTGAACTAAGAAAGTTGAACAGAAGCTCATTTAAACAGAAGCTGTTTAAACAGCAGCTCATGAACATATAACAAAATGTGCAAAGACTTGGAATTGGAAAACTAAAAGGTAAGAGCATATTCAGCATTTTTCAAACTGCAAGAATTGAAGAAATTCAAGCCTCAAGTTATAAAATCTACAGGCAAAATATTGAAGGATGCAGGAAGCATCAAAAGATGGAAAGAATACCCAGAGTTGTCAGTCAGGGTACCAAAAGGAATCAGCTGATGTGGAACCATTTCAGTAAGTAGTAGTGTAAGATAAAAGAAAAAAAATTAATCCGTTTTGTGCTTAAGGAAGTAGTACAAGCAGGACTGAAGGCATTGGAAAAATGTAAGGTTCCAAGAACTGATGGAATACCAATTTGAGATGTTTCAGCAGAGATGTGGCCATCGCCATGCTCACCTATGACATCGTCACTATGACAAGAAACCTGAAGTCAGCTGACTGGGAGAGATCCATGTTTGTTGCCACCCCCCCCCAAAAAAAATGGGACCCAAAAGGTACAGAAATTATCAAATATAATTATCATTATCACACCGAAGTAAAATCTTGCTGATGATTTTGAAATGGCTACAACAGTGTAATGTCAGGAAATTACTAGAAATTCAAGTTGGATTCAGAAGAGGTCATGGAAAGGAGGATAGCACTGCTGATGTCAGAAGGATCCTGACTGAAGGCAAAGAATTTCAGAAAGTATTGTGTTTTATTTACCATGCAGAGATCCAGCTGCATAGATTATCACAAATTATGGATGTCACTGAGAAGAATGGGAATTCCAAAACACTTAACTGTGCTCATATGGAACTTGTACATGGACCAAGAAGCAGTCCTTCAAATAGAAAAAGGTTTAGGATAATGAAAGGTATCATCAGAGGTGCATCCTTTCTCCTTATCTAGTCAATCTGAGCAAATAATTCAAGAAACTGGACTCTATAAAGAATGGGCACCAGTACTGGAGGTTGACTCACCAACAACCTGTAATATGCAGATGACACAACCTTGCTTGCTCAAAGTGAAGACAACCTGAAGCACTCATGGAAAAATACCAAAGACTACAGCCTTTAATATGGATTACAACTCAATATCAAGAAAACAAAAATTTTTAGAAATCCTCACAATTAGATTAATAGGCAACATCATGATAGATGGAGAAATACTGAAGTTGTAAAAATTTTCCTTTATTTGGGTCCACAATCAACAGCTCTGGAAGTAGCAGACAAGAAATCCAAAGATGCTGCACACCCATGTTTATTGCAGCTTTGTTCACAATAGCAAGGAGTTGGAAACAACCTAAGTGCCCATCAACAAACGAATGGCTAGAGAAGCTGTGGTATATTCGCACAATGGAATACTATGCTGCATTAAAAAACAAGGAACTCATGCAATATTATTCAAAATGGGTGAGCCTCGAGGACATTATGCTGAGTGAAATATCTCAGTCGCAAAAGGACAAATATTACATGATGCCACTGTTGTAGAATGGGACTGTCCTTGGGGTTGGGGAGAGACTGAGTAAGATGGGTTCAATAATGTATACTGCACTGAAACAGAGGAGGGAGAAAACTGTTTAAAAGAGATATGTGACTAGGTATTTCTGTCATCACAGGAGTCTAGAGCGAGGGCTACATGGTGGAGGGGACCTGGGGGAGGGTTTGTAAAACAATGAAAGAATCTTTTACTTTTCCATAATTTTTGACTCATGTACTTATAACTTGTTAGTCAAATTTGTGTCTTCTAGGTTGCAACACCCCCATGATACATCTTCAAGGATATGAACATGTATGGCCAAGCACAATCAATAAGAGTGCATCTAAATTCCAAAATCAATCTCCATAATAGTCTATGTGTTTCCTACTGCCAAAGGGGCCCTTTAGAGTAGTGAGAGAAGATCTTCACCCTGAAACCCACAGCATCCCTTTTCAGCAGGAAGTAGCTAAGAGAATACGTCATCCCCTTTTCCTTATGACTCAGGGTGAAGTCTCTCTCAGGGAGGAGTGATAGGGAATGGCAAAGGACACACTGACAAAGAAGATTAATCAGAACTGGCTTTGACAAGCACTGTGGCATTTGGACAAGAACAAACTGGGAGGAGGGCAGAGAGAATGGTGCAACAATGAATGAATGGAAACCCAAAATCTCTGTAAATGTTTATGAAAATTAATAAAATATAATTATAGGGAAAAAAAAAAAGAAATCCAAAGATGCAATGCCCTGGACTAAAATGCTGGTGGGGTCTCGTCAGAGGGTAGGGCACACCTGACCCATGGTATTTTCAGTTGTTTCAAGTGATGTTAAAGCTGATCACTGAATAAAGACGATTGAAAAAGAACTGAAGTCTTGGAATTGTGGTGATGGTAAAGAGTTTTAAAAATACCATGGACTGCTAAGGAACAAAGAACTAGGTCTTGATAGAAGGATGATAAACATTTACCTCACACACTTTGGGCATGTTGTCGAAGGTGCCAGTCCTTGGAAAAAGACAACATGCTGCTGAAAGCAGAGGATCAGTGACAGAGAGGAAGACTCAGTGAGATGAACTGACAGAGTGTCTGCAACAAAGGGCTTGAGCATCATGGATTTCATGAGGGTCTTGATCTGTTGTACGTGGGGTCACAATCCGTTGGAGCCAACTTGAAAGCATTTAACAGTACAGGTAACACAAGAGGCAGAAAAAGATGTCAAAAGTCAAAGCTAACCTTCCTGAGGTAGAGTGGGCCATGGCTCTTCAGGGTCAGTGTCATGACATTGGGGCTTAGCATGGCAGCTTGGCAGCCCTTGGGTCACCATGTGGAGAGCTGCAAAATCACCCTTGTTGTGTCATTCTTTGAGGAAAAGAAATAGTGCTCAAAGAGGAAAATCTGAACCCAGAAAACAATCTCATAAGCAGCCAGAGTTACCAGAAGTTCGTCTTGATGCCCCAGAAGGTTCCTATTTAGAGAAAGAACCAGTTGGAAAATTTCCAGATTGTGTTAATCCTGTTACCAAAGAAAAGGGTGGACCCAAAGCTCCAGAGCCGCCACACTACAGCGACTGGGAACAAAAAGCCACGCTATTGACTTGTAAGTCACATATTTCAACCTCATAGTTTCTGAATATATACATTTGAATTAACGGATCTCTGCTTAATTTCTTTACATCCTTCATCTGAATTCTGTAATGCATTTTAAAAGATGTGATGACTTTGAAAGAAAATATGTTGCTGTAAATTGGGAAACTGACAGTATTTCTACATTAATCCACCAAAATCCAGTGTCATTATTGAGACCACTCTAGCACGTATAATTTAAATATAAATTACATACAAAATGAACAATTAAAATGGCCAATGTTTACTGTACCATTTTTTAGTGCAAATCAATTGCTTGTAAAATGCCTATGTAAATAAAATCAGTTTACTTTGTGCTAGGCAAGGTGGGGGAAGAGTCAAAGCTAAGGATATTCTTCCTAGATGCAAATAATTCTCAAATTCCTACTTTCTTTAAATCCTTGGCTTTCTTTTAAAATATACTAGACTAGACTAGAATAAAATATAATGACTTAACTTATCCAGAACGTATGGATTTTCTACTTAAATGAAGCTTTGGCCAAGCTTTAAAAAAGGTGTGAGCATCCCGAATGATCATTAATCTTAAATGCATTATCTTTTAAACAGAGATAAACATAATTTACTTTTTTCCCCTTGTTGTGCACGTCAAGCACAGGAGATGGGTTACCCCCCTCTTCTCCAAGGGAGTACCTGGTGGATTTGAACCATGCACCTTCAGGACTGCAACAGTTTCTTGCCACTATGTCACCAGAGAACCCTTTGTAACTTGTTGGGTTTTTTTACTACTTGAGTCATCCTAAGAAGTAATATTATGCTGTTCTATTGTAACAAAAACCCCAGTTTTTGGTGATAAGAAAACGAAAGATATGTTCGCACACGTTTCAAGCATTAGTAAGTTTTTGGAGGTCTTCCCTTTCTACCAGTTACAGAGTACTACAGTTGTGATCAATTCCTGTCTCTTTAATTACATCAGACTGGGACAGAAGATGACATTTACTAGAAAAATTTGGGGATCAAAAAACTTAATTACTTCAGCTATAAACTATTTTGGCTTCTTAGAGTCCTCTTCAACTTCTGACAATCCCTTATCTTCTAAGCATTGCAAAGCAAAGCAAACAATTCACTAAAAAAATTAAATTGTTAGGAATTTGGCTTGAACAAAGATAAAATGTACAAGAGTTTGAAGGAATTACTGACACTGAATCTCTCATGTGAAGACATTGAAGATTCTAAATGGTTTTAATCTCTCTCTCTCTTTTGAAGGCAAATGGCTGATGTAAACAATCTCTTGAAATCCTTTATAGCTATTACTCTATTTGTGAAACAAAAAGTAACTTATTTTTATTCTTCCCAGGCATATTTGCAAATGTGTACGTCTGACATACCTCTTAGGATGTTTCTTCAAGTTGGAACTATCAAGTGTCTCTCTTAATTCCAGGGAATCCTGAAAACATTATTTAAATTAGAAATCTATGACAAATAACATACTTTATATTTGACACTCCAAACTGGCAAAACGTAAAATCTATGTTCCTGACTGGTTTGTGTGGCACTGACACTCACGGAGGACAGAGCCAGAAACAATCAGCCATCCTCTCCCCTCACCTACCACGTTCTCACAAAACCCTAGGGGAGCCCAGCTACAATTCAACAAGCCAAAGTGTTTACCTAGTATACACTACCTCTTTAAAAGGTCAAATCTCATCCAGCAGACCCTGCTGGCCTTACCTGGTTTAGGAAATGTCCACTGGGCTTTACACTGACAAAGGGAGGGAGTCTTCCCGGTCCTTTCTTCACTTGGGTATCCACATACTCTTGACTGTCTGGCCAATCTGTGCTGCAGGCCACACTTGTCGGTTTCTGGCTCGGCCACTCACCAGGGCGTTTTTTATTCATCATGGTGATCTCAGTGTTGCTTGAGGTGGACACCACAGCCGGCCCTGCGCTTGTTGCTCTGCTGGTTGTGAAACACGCTCTGAAATCAGTGCTGACATCCACAGTTTGGTTGACAAGAACGGCACGACTCACACCATCCATTATGGATTTGTTGCATGTTCCTTTCCTACCACAGGAGCAGGATTTGTTTGAAGTACTGCTAACAGCTACTTTTTGGGAGCTTTCTTCCATTGCCTTGTTATTATTCATGGCAATCTTGGAAAAGTCTAAGGTTAGGTCAGGGGTGGTTTGTAGAACTTGATAATGTGAGTATCCACAGGCAGAAATGACTGAATCATCAAAAACAGGGGTCCAGGATGTTTGACAATCCTTACAGGGCCGGAATAATGCCTCTGAAGCTTTCTCCTGTGATGGATTGCCAAGATACTGTACTTTCTTTTTATCAGTATTTCCACAAATACTTTTATTGTCAGTTTCTTGAGCTCGGTCAGTATTAAATTTAGTTTCCAGTCCTTTTGGAGAGTTCAAGAAATCACTCTTGGATTGATATTCCTGCTTTGCAAGAGAACTATTGCTTAGAATAACTCCATCAAATACCGTGTGATACATTAAGCTAGTCTCTTGTGTCTTACAATGCGCATGCTTCAGTTCATGATCTTCTCTTAATGTAAGAGAATTCTGAAATCTGGAAACATCTTCTTGTCTATAAACATCGCCTGAATCTAAAGAAATGATAGAACTACTTTCCAATTTAATATGATTCTCTTCTAGGTTACTAGTATTACTAGCTTCAAACCCTACATTTCTTAACCCTGTAACTTCCAGATTAGATACACTTACTGCTTTTGCTGAGTCAAAAGATAAATGGCTTATATATTCTTGTTCTAGTGCGCTGTGGTATTCCTGGTGTGAGTTTTCATCTCTATCAGGATTCTGCATGTCTTCATCAGTTTCTTTATAATCGTAATTGGAAACACAGTTTTTTAGGTCACTAGTCTTACTACCTTGATGCTCCAAGACATGAAAAAGTACTTCTTGTTTCTGCATTTCAGGTTTTAATTGTGAATTTAAATGAATATGTCTTTCATGTTTTATTTCTGAATCTGAATAATGTATAGAGTATGTTTCATTCAAGGAAGCATAGTCCGTACTGTCTTCAAATTCACTTGACTGTGAGTGAGTATACCCTCTGGTAGTATCTTCATTTGCTGAACATGGTGCTGATAGATCAATCCAATCAATACCGATGATTTCCTTGTCATTAGCTCTTTGTTTTGATGTGGAATCCCAGTCATCATCAGGAACAGAAAGTATGACCTCCTTACAACCACTCGAAAGTATTAGCAGCTTTCCTTTCTTTGGATTAGATGGTTCATCTGCTTAGAAAAATAGTAACAAAATGTAAATAACAGTGGCATAAACTCTAAACACTAGGGAAGACTTCAGACGTGATTTAGCCCAAGTTCTTTCAAAAGGCAAGGAAATGTTTTACACCAGCCAAGGAAGATATCTCTAATACTGCCAAGGCTCCTTTCCGACTCCCAGCAAACAGTGTACGCCTGTCATTGGGAGTTGGGAGGTGCTGTCAAGTTGGTTCGACTCAAGTGACTATGGGGACCCTACCTGCATTCGTAGATAGATCTGTTAAGAAATTTATTTCTTAAAAAATTTCTTTCTTCCTAGTGCCAGACTAGGTTCAGAGAAACAAAAGAAAAGATGACATGAATGATGCTACCAACGACTCATATCTTTGATCCGGGTGACAGGTAAGCACATACAAATGTAATACGGCTAAAGAGTGCTGGCTGCTGTCAAGTTGATAAATGGCTGGAAGAAAAAGTGCTTTATAACAAAATAGAGACAAATCAAGTAGCATATTCAAAGTTAGTCTTGAGAGGGAATATGGTGTTTTTAGGAAACTAAATCAGCTGAACTGGAATGAAGGGCTCTCTGGGAATGACAAAAGAAACGTGCAGGGTTTTTTAAGATGCACTAAGGAAGGAGTCTGACTGATTCTACAACAATGGGGGCCACTCAAACTTCTCCCAAGGCTAGTTGACGACTGGGATTGAGTTTCAGGGAGTTAGGACAGAAATAAGAAGTAAAACCTGGAAGGGGAGATGGCAGCGACTATATAAGAATGCAGATGTCGACAGGAAAAGACTGATGACAAGTTTCATAACTGACAGAACTTGATGGCCCATTAGAAATAGTAGATGAGGAAGAGTGAAATGAAGCCTTTCAAATCAAACTTACTGCCAAGTGACTTTAAATGAGTGAGCACAATTCCCCTCAGTTTTCACGGCTGTAAATCTTTATGGAAGATGCCTATACTCCCTTTCTCTAATGCAGTAACTGGTGGATTCAAACTTCTGATCTTTTGAATAGCTGCCAACTGCTTTAAGCACTTTGCAACCTGGGTTTCTCAGAGTGAGATTCTCTTTCTTGCTCATTGCCGGGAAGGTGGAAGTCTTAGCTGACTCTCCAGCTTGTTTCCAAGGCTGTAAATCACACATGAAGAAGTGGCTCAGCTTTTTCCTAAGGAGCCTCTGGCTGATCTGAACCATCAGACAGGCAAGACCGTTGGTTTAGCAAGGCCCATACGGACTAGACTGCTAGACTCACTATAGAGTGAGATTAATGTCTAGCACAAACGGTTTTGGTTGAGATCACCAAAAGAAACATGTTTCTATTATGAGCCAGAACACACATATATTTACATATTTAAGTTAAATAAAATTTTCATGTAAGAGCAACTATTCCAAGTCTAATGTAGTCTGATTATTTTCTATTTTCTTTAAAAACACATTAGAAATCTGGCAGCCTAATGGTAAGAAACTGTACTGTAATCTTAAATGCACACACACACACACACACACAACAAACCCCACATATACAAAAGCTGATTACAATCCACTAAAAGGATTTCGTGGCCCACTGTGTGACCACACTTTCAAACAGTGGTCCAAGATACTGCAGAGACTGTGAGGCTAGCACAGCACAGGACAGGGCTCAGACTGACTGTTTATAGGGTCGCTTTAAGTTATACTCGACTTGACAGCACCTAACAGTAAGATAACGCTGAGGTTTATAATTTGATATCACTAACGAATGGGACTACTCAGAACTACAGAGGCAGACACTTTAGGAGCTAATCTAGATAATGAAGAGGAAGAGCAAAGGGAGGACAGGAATTCATTCCAAGTATGCAGAGTGTGAATCTAGAAATGGGCCATCCAGATGAAAATGTTCAGTAACATATTACAGAGAACTAAGAACAGTAACAGCTACGATGAAAATCTTATCACATTGTGAACTAAAAGCAATTAGAGAAATCATTTTTCATACAATTTAGGTATTAGCCCTTTTGCATTTACAATGCAAGTTAATTTTTTCCAATTCTTTGCTAATCTATTAACTTTTCTATAATATCTTGTTATACCAAAGTTTTTGAGTCAGTGGTTTTCTCTACCACACGTTTACAGAAGTAGTCCCTACTAATTTCTTCTAATTCTGAGACTGAATGTTAAGTGCTCTTAACAGCTACCCTTCTTCCTTCATATGTTAATTTAATGTTTCACTATAGCAAGAAGTGGCAATGTTCAGAATACAGTAAACTTTCCTTGTGACTCACCTTGCTGGAAGTTTTCTTCATTCCTGTAGAAGCTTTTACCAGAAGCTGCTCCTACTACTGCAGTGGATTCCATCCTCAAAGATATATATATTCTAGAAAAGATATAAATATTAACTACTATATTTAGCACTATATTGAAAAGAACTCTCTTAAAGTAAGAGTAATTTGTGCAAAGATGCAAAGTACAGACACAAACACTACTATCAGCACGGTGATTGTTGCAATGAGTAGCTCCTCAGTCTATTCCAATTCACAGTGATCTCACATGCACAGGGTGAAATAGCTCCATGGGGTTTAAACTGCCTTTCAGCTAGTAGTTAAGCACTTAACTCTTTGTATCAACAATAATAAAAGTGGCAGAACATTTAAGTGACTTTAAAAAACAGAAATTAATAGCCATCTAAACAAGTGTATTATTTAAATAGGTAAGATACAGTCTTTTCAAATTACCAAAGAATATTTTTTCCTTGTGATTTGCATGAACGTTTACAAAGGTTGAGTTTCCACTCATTCACTGTTGCATATTTTCCTCCCTCCCCTTTCCTTCTTACTCCCTTCAGACCACTTGGCAACACACCTCTTGTTCCAACTCGTGTCATACATATGCTTAGTCATATATTCCTTTCAGACAGTTCTTCCCTTGTCTGCACCAATGCAGCATTCATTACCTATCAACTTCCTATTTTCCCCTCAAATGCCCATGTCAGTTCTATTTTAGAACAGTGGTGTTATACAGTATTTGTCCTTTTGTGACCGAAATATTTCACTCAGCATGTCTTCCAGAATCACCCGTGCCGTGTAATGTTTTACAAGTTGTTTTTCAATCATGTCTTCCAGAATCACCCGTGCCGTGTAATGTTTTACAAGTTGTTTTTCAATGTTGTGTAACATTTCATTGCATGAATATACCACAGTTTTTCTATTCATTTGCTGATGGGCACTTGAGCTGCTTCCAATTCTTAGAGACTGTCAGCAACAGAAATAAGCACAGGTGTGCATGTCTGCTTGAGTTGTGGCTCTTGTTTCTTTAGGGTGTATGCTCAGCAGTAGACCTGCTGGGTCAAATGGTATTTCTATTTCAAACTTTCTGAAAAAGCGCCAGACTACCTTCCATAGTGGTTGTACCATTTTACATCCCTATTAGCAGTGAATAAGAATGCCAATCTCTCCACAATCTCACCAGCATTTACTGTTTGCTGCTGCTTAACTTGGCTAACATTACCTCATTGTTGTTTTGGTTCACATCTCTCTGACAGTGATTTTGAATATTTATGTGGCTGCCATCTGAATTTCTTTGGAAAAGTTGTCTATTCATATCTCATGCCCATTTTGTGTTTGGAGTTGTTTACCTCCTTCTTGTTGGCATGTTGGATTATTCCACAAATTTTAAGTATGAGTCCCCTATCAGATAGGTCACGGCCAAATATTTTCCCCAAGTCTGATACATGGAAGTAGTAAAATATAGCACTGCTAGCATCCGGTGCACCTTGGCCTTTAAATTAATATACTTGCTCTCCGGCACTCTGGAAAGGCTCCTGACAGCTATTTCCCCAATGCAACATAGACTGCTGCTACCATGAGGGTTGATTACGGATCTAAGCATGATGAAATCCTTTACCTGTTGGTCTAGTAGTAAGGATTTTGTTTTTTTTTCCATCTTTTTCTTGTACTGTTGAATCAGATCTGACTGGCACAGGAGGAGATTGCCCCTCCTCCTCCAGCAGAGCATCTGGTGAATTCAAACTGCGCACCTTTGGGATTGCAGTGCAGCTTCTTGCCACTAGGCCCACCAGATGTTAAGATGTAATCGTTATGGAAGACTCTAGTCTTTGACCTTCCTTCACTTAACTCACTCACTGTTGCTGCGTTGGAACCAATTAATTAATAGTTACTCGTCCAGTGGATCTTCTTTTAGAGCAGTGCATCATTAATGCTCAGTGTACAGAATCTAATGGGATGGTCTCCAAAGTCGGAAGAGAAATATTTAATAAGTTTGGTTACTGTCGACTTTTCATTTTGATAGGCAGGTTAAGAGGAGCTTCCAAATTAAGACTAGGAAGCAAGCCTGTCTATCTACTTCTGAAACAATATCCTTTAAAAACTTCATAAACAGCAGCAGTACACCGTCTAGCACAATGTCAGATGATATTTGGGGAGGAAAGTCTCCACCAACTTCCATCAAGTCAATTATGTCTCATGATGATTCTCCATTGGGTTCCTCAGCAATACTGCCCATCTTTCTCCCATACAGCAGCTGGTGGATTTGAACTACTAACTAAATGTTTATAGCCCAACATATATGCTACACTATCAGCTCCTCTCAGATAGGAAAACTCAAGTTTTTAGGAACCAACTCAAAGCTTGACTTCAAGAAGGCTGTTAATAGCACTTCCTAGTAACATGTTCAAAGCATGTGAGGTAAAGCCTCATCAGTCCTGCCTCCAAAGAGAACTCTGGCTGCACTCTTTCCAAGACATAGCTGTTCCTTCTCTTGGCCATTTATGGGGTGATCAGCGCTCTTCTTGAACACCACAGCTCAAAGGCATCAATTCTTTTCCTGTCAGTCATTGTCCAGACCTCAGATGCACAGCTAGTAATCGGAAAGATTACTGCAGGAGATTATGGCCTGAATCAGATGCACCTTAATTCTCAAATTAACATCATTACTCAATAATTTGGAAAGGTCCCTAACTGCAGATTTTCTCAGAGCAATGTGTCTCCTTATTTCCTGACTGCTTGTACCAAGGGTGTTAATTGTGGATCCAAGCAAGATGAAGCTATTTACAGTTCTCAACCTCCTCTCCATCCATCATGACACTGCCTATTGGTCCAGTGGTAAGAACCTGTTTTCTTGATATTGAGAAACAATCTATACCAAAGGCTGCATTTTTTCATATTTTTTAGATTTTAATGAAAGTTTATAGAGAACTTGGATTTCCATTCATTCATTGTTGTACATTTTCCTCCCTGCCCACCTCTCCCATTTTGCTTTTCTCTTTGAAAAGAAAAAAAAATTCTTTCATTGTTATACATCCACCCCAGTCCACTTTACTATGCAAAGGATGCATTTCCTGATCTTCTGCAAAAAGTGCTTCAAGTAAGGTTGAGTCATCTGCATAACACTGGTTATTGATGAGTCTCCATCCAATCCTGAGGCCACTTTCCTCTTCACAGAGTCCAGCGTCTTGGATAATTTGCTCAGCATATAGACTGAACAGGTATGGAGAGAGAATACATACCTGATACACTCCGTTCCCAATTCCAAATCATGCAGTGCTCCCCGGCTCCATTCACAAAACAGCCTCCTGATCCAGGTATAGGTTCTGCATAAGCACAATCAACTGCTCTGGGATTCCCATTCTTCTCAATGTCAGCTACAACTTGTCATGATCCACACAGTCAAATGTCTTTGCAAAGTCAATAAAGCACAAATAGATATTTTTCTGGTATTCCTTACTTTCAGCTAGGATCCATCTGACATCAGCAATTATATCCTTGATGCCATGGGCTATTCAAAGCCCCGCTTGAAATTACGGCAATTCCCTATCTATGTATGTTTCCAGCTGTTTTTAATGATATTGTTTGATAATTTCCACATTCTGTGTTGATCACCCTTCTAGAGAATAAGAACAAATATGGACCTCTTCCAATCCATTGGCCAGACAGCCTGTCCTCCAAAATTCCTGGCATAGACTGGTGAGTGCATCCAAGGCTGCATGTTAACAAACCAGTCAATTGGTATCCCAATGATTACTGGGGCCTTATTTTTTGCCGATGCCTTCAATGCAGCTTCCACGTCCTCCTTCATTACCATTGGCTCCTGTTCATACAGTACTTCTGAAATGTTTCAGTGTCAATCAACTGGGTTGCTATTAGTTGTACTCAACTTGACTGCACCTAACAATAGTCTACTACTATGCTGTAAATGACAACTGAAGAATGGTGTTGCATTCACTGTCAAAAAAGAACAAGTCAAGATCTGTCCTGAAGTACAATACTGTCAGTAACAAAATAAACTCCATATATACACAAGTTGTTGTTATGTGCCATCGAGTCACCGGAGACTCATAGCGACCATGTGTCCAACAGCCTGCTTTATCCTGTGCCAATCTTCCTGAGACAATCTTCCTGTCTGATGCACCTACCTCCATTACCCTAGTCACTGCATCAATCCATCTCATCGAGGGTCTTCCTCTTTTGTGCTGTCCCTCCTTGAAACATGACCAAAGTATATCAAAGTTTCAGAACCCTTGCTTCCAAGGAGCAGCCTGCCTTAACCCTCTCTAGGGAGAACCTGTTTGCTCTCCTGGCAGTCCATGGCATAGTCAACACTCTTCTCCAGCACCACAGCTCAAAGGCATCAATTCTCCTTCTAGCACCACTAGTCATTGTCCAGCTCGCTGATGCGTAGCAAGTAGTTGCAAACACTAGGGCCTGAGTCAGGTGGACCCAGCACCCCGAGTGGACCAACCCTGGGTCAGCGGGCCAGAGCCTGGACCCCAGCGCCCCATGGGGGAGCAGACCAGCACCCGCGCAGCGGGTGGACCCCCAAACCCCAGCAAACGTCCCCAGCCGGGCCGCCCGAGGGCTGCAGAGAGAGTGGATGCTGGCAGGCTTCCCGCGGGCCTGGTCAGCGAGCGGAGGCCAGGTGTGGCCACGCGGGCCACCAGGTGAGATCTGGCCTCAGACGAAGCTGCGCTGCGATCGCACAGGTTTTCTGCCTCTGAAAACCACAGGGTCAGCTGTGGGCGCGATCTCCAAGACCCTGACCACTGTCAGAGCTGGGAAACTGCAGAGACCCGCAAACGTGCACATCGTCACTTTCCTCTAAGGAGCAGCTACCTCCAGCCTGACGCTCGGACCCCGACTCCGTCCCCCCTGAGTCCCAGACGCTCGGACCTCTGGACGCTCGGACCCCGGACCTCGACTCCGTCCCCTCTGAGCCCCAGACGCTCGGACCTCTGGACGCTCGGACCCCGGACTCCATCCGTCCCCCCTGAGCCCCAGACGCTCGGACCTCTGGACGTTCGGACTCCGGACCTCGACTCCATCCGTCCCCCCTGAGCCCCGGAC